TCTCTAAGAAAGAAAAGGAGATCTATGATGTGACCCATATTTAGTAAGTAAACGTAACAGTCACTCACTGAGCCAGAAGCACATTTATATTACAATTTGTGCTTCCCTCACCAAATCTCCTCTGTAAGGAAAATATTGCATTGAATATATTATTCTCATTGTTTTAAATCCAGAAGTTAATATCTATAAATCATTATCCTAGTTTTATATTTGTAGTGCAGGCCCGTAACCGGATGCCCATGAAATATGCTCAGAGCGTGTGATTCCTGGTTTTGAGCATCCATGGGCATGTATCAAGGAGCCTGCTTCCAGCCTTGTGGGATCCATCACTGAGGGGACTTAGACTGTGAGATGATGAGTGATATCCCCTTATTGGCTGAGGGAACTGGAGGAGTTAATTAACCAATGGGTATACCAAAAAGGTACTGGACTTTGTCTTCTTTTGAACTCTCCCACTTGAAAAGTAGTTCATTCTTTGCTTTGAATGTTCTTTGTAGGGCGGTTGGGCCTCTTGCCATCCATGTGAAGTATGGATACAACTGGGCTGCAATTGCCTTTTTCTCTGTATGTTTCCTTTCCTGAGTAGGTGATCAGACATGATTCTTGAGGAGGACGTGTTCCAGCTTGAAGGACCTTATGAGTTTGAGAGTTCCAGAGGTCCTGGGCTGCAATTGCCTTTTTCTCTGTATGTTTCCTTTCCTGAGTAGGTGATCAGACATGATTCTTGAGGAGGACGTGTTCCAGCTTGAAGGACCTTATGAGTTTGAGAGTTCCAGAGGTCCTAGGTTCTATAAAAGGACTGGTCGGTTACGTTGGCAGCAGGAGTGGGCAGCCACTAACAAGAGGACTGGCCCAAGCTTATCCATTTTTACTAGCAGACATGTATCAGGAATTGTTTGGACAGTGCTGAGCTGATGTGAAATGTAAAATGCCTAATAGAAATGTTTGAGTATTAGCCTGTTTACACATTGTAACAATACTTATGTTACTGAATCTTTTCCTGCTAATGTCTGCTTGTGAGTGCTTCATGTTTAGCGTTTCTTCAGTGTATAAAGAATAACTTATCTGGTGCTGTTATTATCTTGATTTTACAGTCAAAGAAACTGAGGCAGACAGAGATTAAAATGGTTTGCCCATGGGTGACACGGCTAGTAAGTGTTTGAGGTTGGATTTGAATTCAGGTTTTCCTGCATCAAGAATCAAATGAGATATTTGTAAAGCGTCTGACACACGGTAGGTGCTTAATAAATGCTTATTTCCTCTCTCCACTCTCCAAAGCCAATTCATTGAGCCCTTTTTTTTTAACTCCCCTTTCTTGTGGGGGCCCTAGAGACAGTGAGCCTTAAGTAAAAGTTCTTCTGTCATGCTAGGGTAGGGGATTTAACAAGCCAATTAATGTGAGAAAAGGGAGCCTCACCCCTCTCATTAGAGTCAGGCTCCCCAGAACTGAACTCAGTCCAAATCACATGGCTCAGTGCAGGACAAGAAGGGCTAAGTGACTAAGTCCCCCTGTGACCCAGCACTGGTTCCACAAGGTTAGATATGTATTTGGGAGGTTAAATGACTTGCTTAGGGTCTGAAAGACAATTTATACTGGCTTACTTAGGATTTGAACCTAGATCTCCTGACTACTATTTGGATGATTTTCTCCAATATACACTATATAAGATATTCGCTCTCTGTTCCAGTCATTCATTTTCTATGGTTGGCCCCCATGCCTGGAACACTGTCCTCCACTCCTACTATTGACCTCCCTGGCTTCCTTTAAGTCCCAACTAAAATCCCACCTTCTACAGGAAACCTTCCCCTCTTCATTCCAGTGCCTTCTCTGTGTTTATTATTTCCCATTTATTTATCCTGCATTTAGCTTGCTTTGTTTATATTTGCTTGCATGTTGTCTCTGTTAGATTTAAGCTCCCTGAGGGCAGAGGCAGTTTTTTGACTCTTTTTATATCTGCAGTACTTGGCATAGTGCCTGGCATATAGTGGCACTTAGTAAATGTTTATTGCTTACTTGATTGATAGATATACTAACTCCCTGAAGAGAGAAGAAAAGAAAGGGAGATAAAAGTGGCACAATGTCAGTCAATCAATAGAATTTATGAAGTACCTACCATGTGCCAGGCTGTCCCTGCCCTCAAGAGGCTCACTGTCTAATGGAGAGACAACATGGGAACAAAAACCATGTACAAATAAGATAGATACAGGACAAATTGGCGATAATCTCAGAGGGAAGGCACTAAGATTTAGGAGGTGGGATTTTATCACTGTCTTTTCATTCTCCCTCTTTTTCTTCCCCCCCCCAACGTGTGGCACACAGTAGTTGGTTAATTGATGCGTGATGAATGAATGAATGAATTGAATCTGGGAGAAACAAAGTCAAGAAGGTCCGGAAGTAAAGGTCAAATTAATTCAGGCTGTCTAGGTCATCTCAGTTTCAAATTGCTTTTTGCCTGTGCTTCCTACATCCTAAGCATTATAAGCTGGACCTGAGGGTTTTTTTTTAATGTACCTGTTCCCTTCTGTACCTGAGTTGTTTTTTTTTCCTATCTGTTCTCTTCTGTAATCTCCTTACCTCCCACCGCCCCCATCTTTTATGTACTTTCCTTTATCATCTAGAACCAATCATAATGGTAATTTATCAAGCAAGCAAGCAAGCAAGCACAGGCCCCTAAGTGGATAGCCCCAGAGGCAGGAGGATCCCAGTTCAAATAAGGCCTCAGACACTTACCAGCTGTTTGAGCTTGGGCAAGTCACTTAACCCTGATTGCCTCCAAGGGAAAAAAAAAAGGCAGCAACAAAAATCAGTCAAACAGCATTTATTAGGCACCTATGAATGCTAGGAACTGAGAATACAAAGACAAAAATGAAACAATTCCTGCCTTCAAAGAGCTCAAATTCTATCGAGAGAGATGTACACATAAATGTACAAGCAAAATAAAGGTGGGGATTTTTGAAAAGGAGGTGCTTAGCAGCTAGGAATCAGGAAAGGCCTCATATGAGAGGAGGTGACCCTCCAGCTAAGCTTGGTATTTTTCTCAAATGTGTTGCTATCTTTTATTTTTTTACCACATCTCTCCCTTCTAAGAAGCAGTTTTGCAAAACTAACCAATGCCTCAACCAAGTCTGATATTATATTCAGTAATCCCACATCTATAGTCCCCCCTGAAGAAGGAAGGGTGCTTGAGCGGAACTCTGCACTTGGGATTTTAGAAGCAGAGATGTGGAGTGAGGAAATAGCAGGCTAAAAATACCGAGACGGGTGATGGCATGTCATGTGTGGGGAATAGGCCAGGTTGGCTGTAAGGTACACTGAATGTAAAAGCATAATGGGATAAACCCAGAAAGGTATTCTGGAGCCAGATTGCAAAGGGCTTTGATTGTCAAACAGAAGGGTTTGTACTGGATCACAGAGATTTCAGGGAGCCACTGGAGTTTCCTGAACAGAAGAGTGATATGGTCTTTTGACCAGTGCTTTAGGACTATCACTTGGGCAGCTATGTGGAAGATGGGTTAGAGAGGAGAAATTGAAGCAAGGAGACCAACTGGGAGGCAATTATGTGGTACAAATGGATGGCGCTCCAAGCCTGGAGTCAGGAAGACTTGAGTTTAAATCCAACCTCAGACACTTACAAGCTATGACCTTGGGCAAGTCATTTAACCTCTGTTGGCCTCAGTTTCCTCAGTTGTAAAAAGGGGGGTAATAATAGCACCTAGCTCCCAGGGTTGTTTTGAGGGTCATTCCTTATTTATGTGCCAGTGCTTAGCACATGCTGTCCAGTCGGGTCCAACTCTTCATGACCCCATTGGGGTTTTCTTGGCAAAGATACTGGAGTGGTTTGCCATTTCCTTCTCCAGCTCATTTTACAGATGAGGAAACTAAGGCAAATAGGGCTTGGTGACTTGCCCAGGGTCAGCTAATAAATGTCTAAGGCCAGATGTGAACTCAGGAAGAGGAGTCTTCCTGATTCTAGGTCTGGCATTGTATCCATTGCATCACCTGGCTGCCTCATTCTTAGTTCATTCCCTTCTCTCTTTCCCTTAGTGCAATGGTCCAGATGAGAGGTAATGAGGGCCGGAACTAGAGGGGTGGTAGGTAGCCCTACTGATGAAAGAGATTTACTGGAGGGATGTTGTAAGAGATAAACGTTACAAGATTTAACGATTTGATTGGATATGTGGGATGAGTGAGAAAGAAGTTCAGGCTGACTCAGGGGTGGGGAGTGGAAGAATGGTGGTGTGCTGGACGGTAACAGGGAAGATGGGAAGAAGGGTGCACTTGGAAGGACACGAAATGAGTTGTTTCGGACACTTTGAGTTGATCTATGAGGTATCTCCAGTTTTAAATGTCCAATAGGCAATTGGTGATGGGAGAGACTGGGGTTGCATCTGTAGATGTGGGAATCTGCAAGTCAAGTCAATAAGCAATTTTTTTTAAGGCAATTGGGATTAAGTGACTTGCCCAGGGTCACACAGCTAGTAAGTTTCAAATGTTTGATCTGAGGTCGAATTTGAACTCAGGTCCTCCTGACTTCAGGGCCCGTGCTCTATCCGCTGGGCCACCTAGGTGCCCCTACAATAAGCATTTATTAAGCACCTGCGATATGCCAGGCACAGTGCTAAACCCCGGAGATACAAAGAAAGATAAAAACGTGGTCCTGCCCTCAAGGAATATACGGTCTAATGTGCAAACAACAAATGAGCTATGATAAACTGGACACACATTTCCATTTGGTGGCAAAAATCCTTTTTCTTCTAAATCTGGTTTCTTTCTGGCATTTTGCCATTTCGCGGGCAGTCTTGTTATTTAACCTTTCACCTTGAGCTGAACTCTCGCCCCACCCCGCCCCGCCCCCCTACCACGTGGGAGCAGCGAGGGCACCTCCCTCAAGAGTCCGGAAACCCACGTTTCTGACGGGACTACATCTCCCAGGAAGCTTTGCGTCGTGAGGGTGGGGACTCCGCGGGGTCTATTGGGGGAGGCGGGACTTGAGGCCCTTCCGTCGGAACGCGACCATTTGCCGAAAGCGAGGCGGCGAGTAGCCCGCTGTAATTGGGCCGGAGGCCCGCCACTCACGATGGAGCGCAGCAGGCTCTTGCCGCGGGACGTCAGGTAAAGGGAAGGCTGGAGTGTAGAACCGGGCTGTGCCTGCAGAGCCGAGTGAGTGACCCACTGACCTCTGTCCTCCCCATTCCCCCTGAAGCCCTTGGGAGTACGGGCCCGGGAGAAGGTCCCAGCGAGCAGGTGACCTGTGGGCACGTGTCCTCACCTGTGCATGCTTGTCCACATGGGGGACGGGGCGCCTCACACACGTGCACACGCGAGTTTCCATGGCCCTTCGAGGTTTTGCAAAGCGCTTACAAACACGCCCCCCCCTTTGGTCCTCAGGACACCCCTGGGAGGCAGGTGCTTGTTTCACAGATGAGGAAACTGAGACCAAAGGTGAAGTGACTTGCCCAGGGGCACCGGAATGGCTGAGGCAGCATTTGAACTGGGGTCTTCCCAACTCCAGGCCCTGCACTCTGTGCACTGTGCCACTGGGTGGTCTACAGACAGAAGGCGTCATCGCTCACACACACGCGCACACACACACGGCGGGGGTGTGGGGGTGTCTAGGTCCAAACACATAGGAGGGAGTCTGTGCTTACACACACATACAAGATGTCCATGCCTAAACATGCATATGAAAGAGTTCACGTTCAGATGCATGCATAAGATGTCTGTGCTCACACACACATACACAGAGGCATGCACATACACGAGGGTGTTCATGCTCAGACACACACTACGATGAGTCCACACTCGAGTGTGTTTGTACACAGAGCCTGGGAGGGACACATAGTCCCATCTAGAGTTGTTGACACACAGACACATACACCAGAATGTACTTGTACATACAGACACAAGACTAACCTCTCCCCACCCAAAGAGCTCTGGTCCACAGTTAGGAGCCTGGTGTCTTTAGGTCGGTCACTTTCCCCCTCACTTTCTTCCTCTGTTGAATGAGAGGGTTGGCTCACGTAACCCCTTTAGCTCCACAGTGTCTTTCTCTTCCCAGTGTGTCCTTGGGAGGGTTCTCTCCTCGCTCAAACCCTTCACATTCTGTACCTTCACAGGGAACTGGGAACTTCAGGAATCTGAAATCACTTTATTTGTGGACATGGGCTAGCATTAGACGAAGGCATTTTCATTTTGGATCCTACTGAAACTATGACGAAGACCTCCACAAGTAGAAGCTTCACAGACAGGAAGCCCACAGTTCTCGGGGTTGCAGGAAAGTGCCACTTTTCTCACTAGGAGTGGTAGGTAAAATTGTTCTGATGTTGTTGAAGGAAAGAAAAAAATTGGAAAGGAAAGCAGTAAAAGGAAGGAAGGAAGGAAAGCAGTAGAAGGAGGGGGAAAGCATAATGTAAATAGGTTGGATAAAAAGAGCTCTGGGTTTGGAGTCAGGAAAACAGGTCAGAATCCCAGTTTCCTGACTATAGAGGGTGTCCCAAAATCTTAGTGCAGTTTTAAGCTAAGACTTTGGAGATGTCATATGTAATTACAGGCAAATTCACTTAACCCCTCTAAGACTCAGTTTCTTCCTCCATTAAAAGGAGAAAATAATGCCCGTAATGTTTGCCTCACTGGGTTGTTACGAATATAATATTTAAAACACTTTGCAGACCTTTAAAGAACCCTATCAATATTGCCTCCTGTTATGTAAAGTTCAAAGATGAGAATAGAAAACTTATTAATAACTTGTCCAAGCTGGGCTGTGTGCGAAGGGGAGGGGAAAGTGAAGGAAAAATAATTTTATTTCAGTGGGAAGCATACAAGGGCAAGTCAGCTCGATGGAGCACTGGGCCTTGGAGTCAGTAAGACCTAGGTTTAAATCTGGCCTCATACACGCATTAGCTGTATGACCTTGTGTAAGTCACTTGACCTCTGATCGCCTGAGTTTCCTGAACTGTAAAATAAGGATAATAACAGCATCTACCTTGCAGGATTGTTGTGAGGATCAAATGAGATAATATTTGTAAAGTGCTTAGGACATTGTCTGGCATGTAGTAGGCACTTAATAAATGCTTGTTCCTTTACCTTTCTGTTTCTAGACGAATAGAATCAAGCAGAGAAATGAATTCTATGAGCTCATTTGGATGTCCTTCTAAGTAATCCCTAGTGCCTGGCACAGTGCTTGATGCATCATAAGCACTTAATAAATGCCTGTATATTGATTAGGCTTTTTTTGGGGGGGGGACGAATCTCATCTGTAACTTCAAAAGTTGTCCAGGTCACTGAGAGATGATTGACTTACCTCTGGTCATACAGCTAATGTGACCTTCTATACCCTGTGTTAGACTGCCTTTCAGTCCAGGGCTTGTTACTGGAAAACCCCAGGTCTGGGTGGTGTTAAATCCCCTTGACTCTCCACTGTTCTATAAGGTTCCCTGAGTGCTGGACACTGTTTACAAGAAAATATGGTCCTTGTATAATAGACTAACATCCTAAATGCAGCCTGAGTTTTGTTTTGTTCTTACCTTTGGACACCTGCCAGAAATTTGGCAGCACACCCAGATCCCTCCAGAAAGCTACTTAGTGAGCAATCTGTGACCAAGCTGCTTCTGTTTTTCTCACCTGTTTCTTGCTTTTAGCTTAATACGGATGGACGTTGCATGTGAGAAAGGCAGGAATGGTCGGTTATGACCCCAATACAAATGGGAAGAAAAATTCCAAGGCAGAGGTGGCAGTAGCTGGGTCTGCCTCAGGACTTGTTACTCGGGCTTTGATCAGCCCCTTGGATGTCATCAAAATTCGTTTCCAGGTACCTCTCTTTCTTTTTGCTATGTGTTGGGTGGGAATACAATTTTAGTTCCCCTTATAAAAGTTGTTTGTGATACTTGGAACTGAAACTGTCTCTTCAAAATTAAGAATGTTCTCTGCTTCTTTCCTGAAAAGTCGTCTTCATCCGGCCCGTCTCTCCTTCCCTTTGTCTCTTTCCTTTGGTTTATAGCTTCAGGTTGAGCACCTGTCATCCAGTGACCCACATGCAAAATACCATGGGATAATACAGGCAGCAAGGCAGATCCTGAAGGAGGAGGGCCTAACAGCATTCTGGAAGGGACATATTCCAGCCCAGATTCTCTCCATAGGCTATGGAGCTGTCCAAGTAAGTGGCAGGGAACAGGCCAATGATGTGATGTTTCAGTAGTTTAATGAAGGAGGATAGAAAAGATGAGGCAAATGAGGCAGCTACTCTAGGGGACTGCCTCGAAAAGGGCAGGAATGATTTTATCAAAGCGTTTTCTATTTGTCTTATGTGAAATTTTTTTTCTGGAAATAGAAAGCATATTCAGAATGAGCTTTGAAAAAAGTCATCTCCCCTTCCACTGTGCAACCACCATCCCTGTCAGATATATATAATTAAGTAGCTACAGAATGCTACAGATTACACAACACAGAGTGGAGTTGGTGCCACATCTCCTGCAGATAATACACGAATATAATTAGTAATAACTCTGTTGGCATAGTACTTTTCAAGGTATTTTCACAAACATCTTATTGGAGTCTCCCAAGGAAGCAGGTATTACCATCCTTCTTTGAAAGAGAACATTGAAATACAGGTTAAGTGATTCACTCAAGCTAGTTAATGATGGTACTAGATGAGAACCCCAAGTGTCCCAATTCCTAGCCCAGATCCCTTTCTCCTCTGCCATGCTGCATTCTCAGTTCAATATTCATTGAATATGGTTGGCCTCGAAGGTCTTCCTCTGAGGTTCTGCTGCATAGCACCATTTGGAAGGTAACAGCTGAAGTTTCCCCTAAAGAAGTACCCAAGGTGATACCCATTTTGGGCTATGATGTCCACTTTGAGTCCCCGATAGCATTTATGGTAGTGAGGGTGGGCCACATCCCTCAGATGCCATATGTCTCTTCTCTTATAGTTTGTGACCTTTGAGCTCCTGACTGAATTGGTCCACAGAACTGTGTGGCATGACCCCCGTAACTTCTCAGTGCATTTTGTGTGTGGTGGCATCTCTGCCTGTGCTGCCACTCTCGCAGTGCAGCCTGTTGATGTTCTCCGAACTCGTTTTGCTGCTCAAGGTGAGCCTAAGGTAAGTGGTCAGGGGTCAGAGAGGCACAGAATCATTAAGGAACTAGGAAATGGGACCTCTGAGGAAATGTCAAATTAAGTGGGATGCATTTGCTTAGAGAAAAGACTTGAAAGGACCCTGGCAACTGTCTTCAATCTATTAACAAATATTTATAGATGACCCAGAGTCACACAAAGCACTATAAAAATAATCTTGGCATTTGGCATATTTTACATAATAGCTATCTTTACATAAAGGGATTTGTAATTGATGTAAACAAAATTCTATTTTAAATGCAAAAGAAATGAGCTATTTTTTAAAATTGAGTTGCATTTATTTCAATTAACAGAAATCTATTTTCTATCCCTCCTGAACCTTCTACTATACCCTGCTGGGAGAAAAAACAAACCCTTGTGACAAATGTGTATAATCAAGCAAAACTGATTACCACATTGGTTGTGTCCAGAAAATATTTCTCATTCTGTATCCTGAGTCCATCACCTGTCTGTCAGGAGTTAGGGAGCATTCCTTACTGATTCTCTGGAATCGTGGTTGTTCATTGCATTGATCAGAAGACTTTCTGAATGCATTGATTTTAAGTCTTTGCATTGTTGTTATTGTGCAAATTGTTCTAGTTTGGTTCATTAGGAGTATGCTATTTAAAGGCACTCTTATCAATCTAGTAATTTGAGTGATTCGTTCCTAAGTCCTCCATTTTATCGGGTGAGTGTTCCTTTATCTGATACCTCCTGTATGAAAAGTACAGCATTGGGTGCTGTGATGGATAGCTACATGAAAGAATCCTGGATGTTGCTGCAGGACATCTGGGGAGCCTACATTGTATGATACTGATTGTAATTACAGTCAAGGCTCAGGGAAGTGAGAAGTCTGTGTGAGTGCACAAAAGACTGTGTGAGGAGGTGCTCCTTCCCTACTGAGGACAGAATCTGGGGTGGGCCGTAGTTTTACATCTGTAGCTAAAATGAGTTGGATTAGGTTTAATGAAGAACTTGCCAAGTGAAAGGGGCATTCAAAATCTGGAAGAGGCATCACATGGAAGATTTTTTTTCTGTTTAACTATAAACTTAATAGTAACAAAAAAAAGCAATGTAAATGGCAAAGAGAAGAAAAGAGGAAATGCACCTTCCATTACTATAGATCTTTAGGAGCAGCCCTGCCGTGCACTATGCACATGCTTGGAAGTTGCCCATACTTTAATTGGTTTTGTTTAACTGTTTTTCTTTGTTATGGAGAGGGCTCTGAAGGTGAGTGGTGGAGTAGTTTTGGAAATGATAGATATGTAAAAACATCACTATGTACATCACAAAAGGCATCTATATGGTTTTTGGAACTGTTTATTTCCTCCCAAAAAAACTGAATTTCCTAAAGACAGATGATAATTCCTTCTGTTTAATTCCTTCTAGGTCAAAAAGAACCTGATAAAACCAGTGTTGTGACTCTTCCTTGGGGTTTTTTTCCTCATAAACTACCAAAGCTGATCTTTCAGGTCTTTATTGGGGCACTATGTAATGGAAAATAAGCTTTCATGGACATGTTTCTAAATGTACAAAAATGAATTCCAGAGTAAGGGAGATCATGGGGTCAAAATATGTCTTTATTCCAGCATCATCAGCACAGCCTTCTGCTATTTTTTTTTAAGCAACAAAAACCTAAACTTTTATGAAATGTGGAACCAATGAGACAAGTTTTGTTCATGAACAGAATTACCTTCTAAATTTTCTTCTTATATGTTTAAATTTATTCATCTGCCAAGCTTTTAAAAACTTTTCAGCCCAACCTTATTTCCTAATTGCTGTGGTTTAAGTTATAGTCTTGTTATGTTATAAAGTCTAATTAAAAACAAAACAAAACAAAACACCAGGGAACAATTTTGTTAAATGTAAAGCACTGGTGCCATTAACTGTCTACATTCAGAAGGCTCTTCACCCTTGTGCACACACTGTATATGCTGGTCGTAACTCAAATCAGCTTACCCTTTTGTATTAAGATTATTTCACCAAATGCTACAGCCAATAGGATAAAATCTTTTTATGAGAGAGAACAACTGAAATTTTATTTTTCTACTGATATTTCTAATGCTGGTATCAACATTTACCAATAAAAATTAATTATGTTTAAAAAAAGGCACCAGTAAAATTTGTGCGACCTGCATAACCACAAAATCAGAACTTAAAACATCTAGATACTTTAACAAACCAGTAACTTTCTGGTGCTCTTTAAAAATAGCATCCTTAAAATATGTTTTGCATGACTATACATGTATGATCAATATCAAGTTGCTTGCCTTTTCAATGAGGAGTTGGGGAGGAAGGGAGGGAGAGAATTTAGAACTCACATTTTAAAAAATGAATGTTAAAAACTGTTTTTACATGTAATTGGGGGAAAATAAGATAATAAAAAAAGAGGAAAAGTAGCATCCATACCTGTGGATCTTACCTTGCCTGGGTAACCTGCCTGCCTGAGGCATAGGGCAATCTACACGAAGCTTTGAAATTTTCCTAGTGTTAGGATACTATGACAATCTATGACTTAATTTTAATGAATTGTGTTTAAGTAGAAATTGAAGGAAGCTGGCAAGCAATGGAAAACCCTACAGATCCCCCTTATGTCATCCACGTTGTCAGTTTGCATCCCTTGGATTTCCCTTGAGTGTTTTCTTTGGCAGTTTGACTGGCCTTCATAGCAGAAATGATGTACTTACTAGTTATGTTATTAGCAGGGATCAGGCAAATAAAGCCCGCAGAAGCAGTGCCATATAATGGGCATTGGATTTGAGGTCAGGAAGACCTGGGTTCATATCCTACCTCAGACACATACTGGCTGTGTGACCCTGGGTAAATCCCTTAATGTCTCTGTGTCTCCGTTTCCTAAGAGTGAAATTAAAGGGTTGAGCTGGATAGCTCCTCAGATGCCATCCACTCTAAGCCTAAGATCTGTTGACCTTACGAGTTCACCAGAGCTACCTGTGCATACGTGCAGATCTACAGAAACCTCCGTCATGGCGTGATGATGATGTACAAGACTGAAGGCCCGTTGGCTTTCTACAGAGGCTTGCCACCCACTTTGATTGCTGTCTTCCCCTACGCGGGGTTCCAGTTCTCCTTTTATAGTGCCCTGAAGCAGGTCTATGAATGGGCCATTCCAGTTGACGGAAAGAAGAATGGTGAGTATGGGGCAGCCTCCAGTGAGCATGTGTCCCCCGACTTTCCTGTGTTGGCCTATGGCAGGGTGGGATTGGCACTGTGAACATGATGTAGACCCAGAGGTCTGTGACACATAGATGCCTTTACCAGCCCGCTAGATTTCTCACCCCTCACTCTGAACCCATCCCTGAGGCCTTGTAGGTCACATCTTCTGTTCTCCCTCCCAGGGCTGTTGGGGGGCTAATTTTGATGGCTGTGGTCAGAAGCCTCACTTGCCTACTTTCTGATTTCTTTCAGGCCTCATACTTGAACTTCTTTGTGTAATTACAGTAACCTCATTTGGCCTTTGGTGGAAATTTTTTGAAGGGAGGAGTCTCTCCCATCTTGACATCAGCCAGAGCTAATCTGCGGTTAATTACTATTCTTGTAGAAATTGGCTCTTCTTCCCATTTCTCTTCCTGAACAAAATCCTTTCTCGTGACTGAGGAAGACTTTTAGGATTTGTTCTTCTGAGGTGTTTTGAGGTCCCTGTCTGGGATGAAGACCTCAGAATGTATTTTTTCTTTTTCTTCTCTTACCACCCTCTACTTTTGTTGCAGCGAACCTTAAAAATCTGCTGTGTGGCAGTGGAGCTGGGGTCATCAGCAAGACTCTTACATATCCCCTGGACCTCTTTAAGAAGAGGTTGCAGGTGGGAGGCTTTGAGAAAGCCCGGGAGCCCTTTGGACAGGTGAGAAGTGCTCTCACTGGGGATCCAGGGAAGGTTTTAAGCGGGGGGGGGGTGATATGATAGAGATTTTAATTAATAAGGAATACTAATCTGGCAGTGATGTCTATAGGATAGATTTAGGGAGTAAGCCTGGAGGCAAGGATGTGACTACATGGGCAAGAAGTGATGAGGGCCTGAACGAGGGTGCTGGCAGCAAGAATGGAAAGGAAGGGATGGATGTAAGGCATGGCCCTGAGGCTGGATCCATAGAACCTGGTGAAGAACTAGATGTAGAACAACCTTCTGCTCGGATCCTGATGCCTTAGTGAGAAGTGAGGAACCTACCTGGCTTAAATAGGGGCAGCTCCCTTCTGCTCTCATTTAAAAAGCCAGGTATTACCACAGAGCGAGCACTTTATGGTCCCCTGGACCAAGCAAAGCTCTTATGAAGACAATTGGAGAACTCCCAGAAGTGCCCTGGTAGATGCTTGTTGATAAGGTGTGTGGACACAGTAAGGAAGGACTCACGGTCTGCCCTGGGAACCTGCCCCTCTGGCTGGGGCGATCGAAGGCATGGGCATTCAAAAGGGGCGCAGAGTTCTCTCCACAAATTGCCATAGGCTTCATGTGGACAGTGTGATCCTGGTTGATAGCCAGACTGGACATAACAACTTCTCCCTTCTCAGATTTTGTGTTCCCAGAACTCTCCATTTCCCTTCTTTGGCTTTCTTTGTCATCGTCTTTTCTATCATCATTATTTGTGTTTAGCCTTTTTCCACTATTAAACTGGAAGCTTTTTGAGAGCAGCTTCTTTGACAGATCTGTCTTTACATCCATGTTACTTAGGACTTTGCCTTGCATATAGTGGTTCCTTAATCCTTTTTTTGTTTGTTTGATTGAGAAAAAAAAAGATTCTGTTGTGGCCTGGAGCTGACCCTGGTTTCCCAAAGATTATGGAAAGCTCTTGATAGTCTGGGTATCCAAGTTGGAAAGGTTTTGTGCATGGGCCCAGTGAAAGGTGGTCTGTTATCTCAGGACCAGCCTCAGTTAGCTAGGGAAACTTTTTTCAGGTTAGCTACAGGCAAGGCATTGTGTTCAGTGTTAATAAAGGTAGTCCCTACTCACATGAAAAAAATTATAGATTCTTGAAGTATTGAGATAAGAATTCAATAAGTGCTCTCCTTAAAGGGGGAGTTTAGACATTCCCTAGGAGAGTTTAAAGAAACTCTTTTGCTAAAGCCTTGGTAGCGTGTATTTCACTCCCTAATATACATTTTCTGTTCAGTTTCTTCTTTCAGCAGACATTTCTTGATTACCTGCTATGTGCGAGCTCTTGTTCTAGATACTGCGGAGATACTAAGGTGTTTCTGCCTCCAAAGGGCTGGTGATCTAGTAGGTGATATAAGTCATCACCAGACATTTATGAAGGATGTGCTGCTATGTGCCAGGCATTGTGGTAGGTAAGACGGTACAAAGACAAAGACAAAAATGCAGTAGTCCCTGCTTTTGTTCCATAGGGCAAGAAATGTGTGCAAATATACAGACAGTTCTTGCTTTACCTAAAAAGTCACATTACACAAATTCGACTTTATATAGAGAATCTTGAAAGAAATCTGCATTAAAAAAAACACATGTGTTAACTTTACTGGACAGTACTGTGCTCTCTTTCTCACCACTCCTGCCCTTCAACTCGGCACTCTGTCCTCCACGTCCCCAAAAGCTTAAAAGAAAACGTTCCAAATGAAAGCAGAAGAGTGGATGTGCAGAGAGACCACCAAACATCACCATTGGAATGGGGGCTTGGTTTGAGGCCTCCAACACCTAGAGAGACCTTTGACTCACTCTGCCCACCTACCCGCTTGTGGCTCCTGAGTGTCATCTGTCCTCTGCTGTCTGTGTCCAGGTCCAGACCCTACACGTCTGTCCCCAGCATGTTCTTCCTCTTGGTTCCAGCCAGGCCCCCACGTGGCTGGCCCCACCCCTGCCTGTTCCTTCTCCTATTCTTGTTTCTCTGTCCCTGGCCCCACGTGTCCGGGACATATTTTGGCCTTCCTTCATGAGCTCGAAGCCTCCTTCCTGCCTCCCTCCTTTTTACCCCATTACAAATCTGCATTATGTAAAAATCGCTTTATGGAGAAGTCTGTAGAAAGGTCCACTTATACAAACAAGAACTGTTTGTAAGTCTTCAGAGAATAAGTACAAAATAGTGTGCAGGAGGAGACCTTGACCTCTGGGACAGGCAGAACCTTATGTAGGAGGTTGTGTTTGAGCTCAGCTTTTAGTGTAGGTGAGGAAGGAGAACAAGGCAAGGGAGAGTATGTGCAAAAGCGTGGTGATGGGAGATGAAATGTGATGTGTGAGGCACAGCGTGGCCATTTTGGCTGTCTGGAGTATTCAGGAAGGGGAATAATAGGTAAAAAGCCTGGAAAGGGAGGCTGGAGCCAGGCTGATTTTAAATGGGAAACAGAGCAGTTTGTATGTTACTCTTGAGGTAGTAGGGAGCCACAGGAGTCTATTGAGCAAGGGAGTAACATCATCAGACCTGTATTATGGCAACTGTATGGAGGCTGAATTGGAAAGGGGGGAGGCTTGAGGCAAGAAGACCACTTTGGAGGTTGTTCTTCTAATAGTCAAGAGATGACAAGGGCTGTTGGTGATTGTGTGTACAGAGAGAAGGGGATTATTGTGAGTGATGTCATGGAGGGAGAAACCACAAGATTGTACAACTGGTTGGATATGTGTGGTTAGGGAGAGGGAGGAGTTGAGGATGACTCTGAGGTTGTGCGAAGGCAGCCGGATGTCTCAGTGGATAGAGCCCTGGGCCAGGAGTCAGGAAGATCTGAGTTCAAATCCAGCCACAGATATTTACTAGCTGTGTGACTCTGGGCAAGTCACCTGACTTCTGTTTGCCTCAATCCACTGGAGAAGGAAATGGAAAACCACCCTAGTGTCTTTGCAGAGAAAACCCCCTGGATGGTCCTGATGTGCCATACTACATAGGATCACAAAGAGTTAAACAGGACAGAATGACTGAACAACAACCAGGTTGTGAACCTGGTGCCTGGAAAGATGATGGTGCCCTCAGCAAAAAGAGGAGAAAGCACCGAGTTCTGTTTTGGACATGTTGAGTTTGAGGTGCTTGAAATGTTACAGGGCAGTTGGTGATACAGAAGTGGAACTCAGGAGAAAGACTAGGGCTGGAAATGTGCTTCTGAGAGTCATCTGTTTAGAGATGATCACTGGACCCATGAGTGCGAATGAGATCATCAGAACAGAGAAGACATGACAGTGACCCCCTCCAGATATACCTATGTATCTTGGGTGAGGATTTGTATATACCAACAGATTTACCTGGGGGCATATACCCATAGAAGGTGGAGTATAGATGATGATCCAGCAAAGCTTCCTAAGCAGGAGGGGTCAGACAAGTGGGGGGGAGAAAGTAGGGTCATGAAAACCTCATGAGGAGAGAAGATCCAGAAGAGGGTAGTGTCAGGTGATGAAGAAGTTTAAAGATTGAGAAAAGGTCATTGAATTTGGTGAATAAGATACTGTTGATAACTTTAGATAGAGCAGCTTTAGTCAAGTGATGAAATCTAAAGCCAGATTGCAAAGGCTTGAGGAGTTGGGGGGCAGGAAGTAGAGGTAATGGGTGTAGACAAAACTTTTTCAGGCAGTTTTGTTTTTGAAAGGGAGGAGATGTAGGACAATAGCTTGAGGAAATGGTAGTGTCAAGTGAGGGTTTTTCAAGGTTAGAGGAGACCAGAGAATGTTTATAAGGCAGGAAGAGATGGAAGATTAGAGAGACAAGGGATAATTTGAGGCTGCCAGATGAAATGGGAGGAGACAGAATTAAAAGTACAAGTATTGGGGTTGGCCTTGTCTTGGAGAAAGGCCATCTCTTCATGCGAGACTGGTATAAAGATGGAGAGAATGTGAGATAATGTCAAGGGGTTCTGAGATGTAGCAAAAGGAAAATAAGGGAACTCAAGGTAAATGACTTTTTTTTCCTGAGTAAAGTATGAATGAAGGTCTTCTGAGAGGATGAGGGGAGGGAGTGGTGTGGGAGAGGCTTGAAGAGAGAAGGTTTGAGGCTTGGGGAATGTGATAAGAGAATAAATAAATTAGGGAGAAATCAAAGGATTGTCTTGCTGTGGGGAGGGCCCAGTTGAGATTACAGATTTGTAGTGGACCTAGTTGTGTGACTTCCTCTTCAGCTAAATGAAAAGCAACAAGTAATTTAGTTCCTTATTAGAGTTGTATACAGAAGGGTTGGGGAAGGTTAGAAGAGGAAGATAGCACTTCCAACTAGAGAAATCAGGAAAGACTTCATGAAAGAAAAGAAAGTCAAGTTGAGACTTGAAGGATGAATAGGGTTTCAGTAAACAAAGTATGATGGAGGGAATCGTGAGATGGAAGGGATGGCAGTGGTAAAGATATGGAGAGGAGTGGGTGAGCACAGTGTATGTTGGGAAACCTTGACTGGAGCAGTGGGTGGGGAGGGGGGGGCTAGAAAAATAGATTGAGTCTAAATTGTGGTGGAATTGGGGGTGAAGGTGGGGGTGGGAGCAGAGAGGAGAAAAACTATATGATCAGAGATGTTCTGGGGGAGAAGAAGTTGCCACTGGTGTGCAGGATGGATTGTGGGGGGAGGCACTGGATTTAGGGAGACCAAAATAAACCCCAGTAAGAGGTGTTAGTTGAGAGCCTGACATGAAAAGGAGGACATGGGCTTGAGAAAAACTTATCGACTTGTTGGCTGATCCTTCCTTCTGTCTTAGCCCCCACAGTCATTGAAAGAAATTCTCAGATAGACTTGAGATGAGGCATATGTATCCCCAGCCAGCAGGGTTTGAAAATTTGTGCTTCCCTGGGTTTAAAAATTGCTCTCCTTGTGTGTTACTGTTCAACAGGGGAAGTCCTGGGCCATTTCAATTACATCTGCTTAGTTTTATCACAAAATAAATGCTTATATTCCAGGCAGTAGAATTTTCTACCATTAAAAGTATATGGATTTATTTATTTAAAAAAGAAAACTACAACAACAACAGAAAAGTGTGCCTTTGCCTTCCGTGCCTGCATAGTAGGGCCAGCCAATAGGCCCAACTATTGCCAGCTTTGCCTTGAAGCCTTCAGAGAAGGGCACAGCTGCAGCGTAAGCGGCAGAAGCCAGTATGGAGGGTGTGAAGACAAGGGCTGAGTCAGTCAGGGAAGACAGACTTCCTGCTTCTGTTTCCTGTTAGAGCAGACAGGGATGTCATCACAAAATGCTCATGCTGGTGCTCAGGGGCCTTGGCCGGAGTTGTCCAGGTGGGTTTGATCCTAAAAGGCCAAGACCCGACATATGGGGTTAAATGCTGTGCGTCCCTCACTGCCCAGGTGCTGGCGGGCGGGAATGAATCCCTGTGGTGGGACAAGAGCTCTCATGAGACACTTCTCTTGACATGTGTGAGCCCATCTCCACAGCAGGCTTTATCCAGACCTTCTGCCATTCTGGCTCCTGTACTGTTCTCACCAGATCTTTTTAAATGATCCGCTGGTTATAAATTATGTGTCTCTGTCCCATAGACCATCAGTCTCAGTCAGTATTTCACTTTGGCTGGATTGTTTTTTTTTCCCCCTCTCTTTTTTCTTTTTTTTAATTTATCACAAGGCACAGCTCTCTGTGGGGGTGGGAGGGAGGAATATATTGGTGAGTGAAAATGATATAAAAACAAAAGAGAGCAATGTTTTTTTTTTTCCCCAAGAGGGGAAAAATGTGTCCTGGCTAAGATACTTAATAGGATGGAGTGGCTCATTTCATCTTGTAATTTTGAGGCACTCTCAAGGGCGGAGAACCTACGGCCTTGAGGCCAGTGTGGCCTTCTAGGTCCTCAAGGGTGGCCCTCTAACTGAATCCAGATTTCATAGAACAGATCCCTTAAAGGGATTTGGATTCACTCAGAGGGCTGCCCTTGAGGACCTGGAGGGCCACATGTGGCCTGGAGGCTATAGGTTCCCCACCCCTGGACTAAACCATTTGAAAGAGGAAGAACGGGTTCCTTCTCACCTTGTGCTGCCCAAGGGGTGGAATCCTGGGGGTCCCAAACATGGCGCCACAGCCTGACTTCTCCATTCCTCCCCAGCTGCTCACAAGATTTTTATGTGTTTTTCTTCCCTAGGTTCGAAAGTATGAGGGCTTCCTGGACTGCGTCCGGAAGATTTTCCAAGAAGAGGGCACCCAGGGCTTCTTTAAAGGACTCACTCCCAGCTTGCTGAAGTCAGCTATGTCCACTGGCCTCGTGTTCTTCTGGTATGAGTTATTCTGTCACCTGTTCAGCTGCAGGAACACCGCGGACACCAGAAGACAGGGCGAGTGAGCCAAGGTCTTGGGCTTCAGGCGATTCCAAAAGAGAAGTAACCCTGTCTCCTCGGTGCACTGTGGAGTGCCCCTTCATCCATTACCTTCAGGCCATTAATTCTGAACACCCAGTAGGGTGGCAGCTCCCATCTCCACTCAGTCTGTATGTTGCCAACAAGGGAACTACTTTTGGGTTTCTAGGGAAAGCTTGGGGGTTGGCATAGGTGATTTGGCTTTTACTTTGTCCCATTAGACCAAGGGGTAGAAAAGGAGCCTAACTCCCTTGTTTTACCTTTATCCACTGGACACTTGAAAAGAAAAGACAAGGTGCTGTATCTGCACTCTCCCCAGACTGAGCTTTGAGCAGTTTTATGGCCTGTGTCTGACACTTTGGTGGTCCCTGTCCTGTTTTAGTCATTAGACCTTAGAGTCGAAATTATATTCCTTCTCTCCCTGCCCACATACCTAATTTCTTTTCTCTTATCTCCCAAGCCACCTCCACAATTTCTGTAGTTTATTTGTCCTCCCTCTATGGCTAAGATGAAGAAATTACTGTCTTCAGCCATTCTAAAGTTAGCCTGGAGGTACAGGGGGTAAAGGCAGTCCCCACCTTCTCCAAACTCCATATTCTGAACAACTTTTATCTTCCTCCATTGCAGCTCTCATCCCCCCAAAGTAGCTTTCCTTTTTGTATTTTAAAGAGAGTCAGTGCCAAATTGAGTAAGCTCACACATCCCCAGCTGCCCAGACCTTGATGTCTAGGCGAAGACACGATTGAGTGTTCTCTCCACATGGAGCAGACTGTTCACTGAAAGTCTCCTTTTATGGGTGCTGGGCTGTGGGAAGAAGCTTTCTTTGGGGAGCAAAAGATAACAGGTACTTGAACAAAGTGGTGGTTAGCAGATGGGTGTGGAAGGGGAGGGAAGGAGTGATGAACCTCCCCAGGATTCATTTTCCCCTTCTCGCTGGATGTACTAAACACTCATTCCCTAAAATAACAATTCTAAGGAAATTTAGGCAAGCAGAGGCTGCTGCTCCTCTGGGGTGTTTAGATTTGGTTCTGACCATGCCATGTTGATGACCATTCATGGGCCCGTGCCTGCCATGTGATCTGCATAGGCCCTTTTGTTAAGCTTAGAAGAGGAGACTTCTCATGAGATGATCTGTCTGGTAAGGGCAGGGTCCACAGCCCTGCCCTGGTGAGAATAGGGGAACTACAATTGATATTTATTTATAATTATGGGAAATGTCAGTTGGGCGTGTGGGAGGTGGGGAGAGCGGAGGCAGACCACAGCAGCCAGACTCCTTGCCTTTGCCCATGTTCATGCTCACCAAGTGTTTTAGGGCTTAAGCCCAGAACCTGGCTGAGCAGTGACAGAGGACTATTTTGGTTTTTTTCCTCAATAGAGTGATCCAGAAAGGTTGCCTTGATCTGTAGATCCTGGGAAAGGGATTGTCCCTGGTGCTGCCTGTGAGGTATTAACTTCACAGATGCAGAATATGCACTGACCTTAATACCCTCAAATCTTGGGGGACGACAGCTCACAGGGTGGTCTTTATATATAATTTCTGTTTCATGAAATCTGTCTCAGGCTTGTGACAACACGCTTCAGCAGTGTTGGAGGGTGGGAAACTTTACTTTCCAGAAAACCTTTTCCTATACCCTGGATGCTGTTATATGAGTGAACAGAAGCTGATGTAGAAAGCCTTCATATCATGGCATCCAAGGCTTTGCCTCTTTGGGGCTGCCGGGAAGGCAGCTCTCTGAATGTATTTTATACGCTTCCAAAAAGTCAAGGCATCTGTGCTCAAACACAGTAAAAGTCTATTCTCGACAACTTGGCTGTGTTTAATTTTTTGCTTTTTGCTACTGACTAAAAAAAATCCTAGTCTCTTCTCTCCTGATGACTAAAAAAAAAAAAGAGCTTAGCCTCTCTCCCTCCCTCTTATAAGGAAACGTCATCATCTTCCACCAGGCATTCCTTGTTGTCTGGGCTGCTGGTAGACATCTCCATTCTCCTCCAGCCTCGAGTTAAGCTAATAAAGGGTGTGGTTTGAGTAGTAAACAAAGCACTTTTCTATATAATTATAGCTCACATACATATATATATATAGAGAGAGTATTTTGTAGATCATAGGCCCTTTTCTTTCCAACAAACCTTGGAGATAGGTAGTGAGACTCTGTGTGTGTGTGTATGTATCTATATCTATGTATATAGTTTGCATGTGAAGGTCCCTGAGGTCTCTTCCACCTTTCAGTCTGTGATCCTGTGACCCCATTTTACAGGAGAGAAAACATTCATAGAGCAGACAAACTGTGGCTGGTCCAGAGTCAAACAACTATAAAGTTGTCAGAAGCCAGACTGGCACTGGAAGAAGAGCCATTACGATCCAACCTTAGGGGATGGTGAAGTTCCCTGTGCAACACGTGGGCTATCCCGAAAGTCTTAGTGCAGTTTTTAATCCATTAAAGCTTAAAACTGCATGCACTAAGCCTGTTGAGACTCCGTGTGTATCAATCAAGATGCTGGGGGCACAGGGTAAGGATTTAATTTTCACCAACCTTCAACATAGCATTTCCTTCACTTATTTTGAATCTCGGAGCGCTCCACGATACAGAAGGTTAAGAACCTCTGTGGCCGATGGTATCGATGGCGGCTGGGGGGAGCACACATTGCACCTTCCATATACATTTTCCATATACGACTCGCCCTCCGGAGACTTCTCGGGGTTGTTGTTGATTTCATCCCCGAATGGCAGTGATCGTAACCTCCTCCTCCCTCCTTGCATTAACCGGGTTATCACCGGCAAACAGGTACTCCGCCAGCCTCCTGATAATCCCCATTTCCTCCTCCTCTCTACCATCTTTCCAGGTTCCACCCCTGCAGCCAGAACCCTAGGGAAGACACGCGGCTGTCTTGAGCAGCGTTCCTGGGGTTCTGCAGGGTACTCCCTTGGCAGATACCTCCCACCCGGCCAAGGAGCCGGATACATCACCGCTTTCCCCAGGAAGAGGAGCCCCTGTCTCTCTGGGGCTCATTGCTATTGTTTAGCCCAGGTTTTTTGTTTTTGTTTTTAGCAAGGCAGGGCAAGTAAGGTGCTCTGGGCCAACTAAGCTTCAGTGCCCCAGGTTAGGCCGAAGTCTAAGCACATTCCGGAGCCGGGGACTGGCTGTCCCGCGCCCACCCCGCCCCTGCAGCATCCTGGGGCCTGGCCGCACCAACCCCGGGACCGGCAGACGGCGCTGGCGAGGCGCCTTTCGGGCCCCGGCTCCGCCCCGCTCGTCCTGCGCTAGGTCCGCGGAGCTCTCCAGGCGCGTTCGGAAATGATCTAACCGGAGAGGCTGGGTCAAGCTGGATGCTGGCAGCAGCCTCGGGTCGCCGAGGGAGCGCACCATGTCCTTGCTGATCCGGCGTCCGAGGGCGGCGGGAAGATAGGGACGGCCTCGCCCCGGCAGGTGGGTGGTGGCCCCTACGGGCGTCCCGCAGAGCTCCTTTCCCCGCACCCGAGCCCGGCAGCCTGCGCTGCTTCCGCGCGCGTTTCCAGCTGTGCCGCCGGAGCAGTTGTGCTGGGGCAGGGAGAAGGGGTTGGGGTGAGCCGGCAAACCCGCCCTGGAGGGGCTTGGAGAACGGAAACCCTGAAGGCTAGAGACTGGGGGAGCTGCCCAGAGCAGGGGCCCCAAACGGGAAGCCTAGGCTTCCCTGGCCATAGTGATTCACCCCCGCCCTCCAAAGGAGTAGTGCATGGGTACTGGATGGCGTCCCAGGAACCAGTGCTGTTTGGAAGTAGAGCCTGGTGTGTAACACCAGGGAGAGGAGAGCCAATGTGGGGTTGAGGGCCTCAGGGGAGAAGCTAGCATTTGAGGCTCAAGTGACCACAGAGAAGTTTCCTGCACCTAGGCTGCTCTAGGGCACGTAAAAGAGGGCAGTGGACCCTCTGTAGGGGAACCATTGCAAGGCCCCGTGGCTCAGTGAGTGTGGGAGTACTGATGGAGGGCAGGTGGGGCGTGTGGGGAGAGGCCTTTAAGATCCCAGGTAGGACGGGACCTGTGGAGTCCAGTCACTGGAAGCCTGAAGAGTTGGTCGTTCTAAGCACAGGCCCTTTTCCCAGCCAGGTTCCCTCCCAGGAATAAGGGTGAATCAAAAGCTTGAAATTGCACTGAGCTCTGTGGTTTGGTGTGTGTTGAGTGTGACTTGGGCTTGGGCGGAGCTCCCAGGCTGAGGTGGAGCTTTCAAGTATCCGCCTAGATTAACTACCTGCCCAATCCAGCAGGGGTGTGAGCCCCTCCAAAAGCATCCTAGCAGTGACCGGGAATGAACTCTACCCTTTTAAGGTTGGAGGATTATTCTAATTTATCATAAATTTTTAACTCCTACGAAATAGCAGATTGGGGCTTCCAAAAATGATTAACCCTCCCCGGTCTCTGCTGGGTGATCAGGCACTATGTGGGCTCTCCCTCATGCTATGTTCCAGCGCAACATAGGAACCAGACTGGGTTGTTTTTTGTGTTTTTGTGCTTTTTTTTTTTAACAACAACAAAAAAAGCAAGTAAAGCAAACAAACAAACAAAATTTGGCTTTGAAGGTAGAGCAACTTTGTTCCTGCTCACCCCAAGAAGGCTGGTCCTCAACTGAAGCATGGTGTACTGGACTTAGGAAACCTAGGTTTTAAATCCTGTGTCGCTACTTACTAGCTATGTGACCCTGGGCAAACCTTTTAACCCCTTGTTACCAATGCCTCACTTTCCACATCTGTAACATGAGGTTGGCCTTGATGGTTTCTAAGGCCCCCTCTAACTTCATGATTCAAAATTATGAAGTCTTTTCTGATTTTTTCCCCAAATGCCATTTGCCTTCCTTTCCAGACTACCTTGTATTTAATTACTTTGTGTGTATGTTAATTTTATGTTTATGCTGTGTATATTTTTATATGTATTTTTTGCCCCCCCATTACAGTGTAAGCTCACTGTAATCATAGGGTATTTCATTATTTGTACTTGTATCCCTTGTACCAAGCACAGTGCCTCACACATAGTAGACATTTAATGGAAGCTTGGTGACTGATGCTATGACCATCCCTGTCTCTCCTCACCACTCCTCCAGGTATTGCCAACCAACCCTGCCTCCCAGCAAGAGTTTGGGGTGGGCTGGGCAGTCATGGGGGAGCCAGGTCGTGAAGAGTATGAAATCCAGTCCTTTGATGCTGAGACCCAAAGGTTACTGAAGACTGCCCTTAAAGGTGAGAAGGAATGGGGGGACCACTAAGCAGGAGCAGGAGTTGGTGCCGGAGCAGACCCCTGAGTATGTGGTTACGTCAGCTTAATTCTCTACTTATTAGCGAATAAACAGCTTCACGATCTTGAATTGGGAAGCAGGAAATAATTTAATATGGGCACATCTGGAACCTCCACTACAAGTTTTCCTCCAGTGCTTCCTTGTGACATGGAGGGGACTGTAGTTTCTTTGAAGGCCATCCCAGTGGAGCCCAGACCTCCGACTAAGTCTGATAGAATAGAAACTTCTTTTGTGCAGGGTTTACTTGTCTTTCTAACCCCAGCGCCAGGCACATCATAAGACATTTAATAAATGCTTGTTGGCTGTCTGATTTGGAGAGGATTGGCCACCAAGGGCTTACTTTTTTAGCCACAGCAACTCATAAAACCTTACAAAATTCAACAGCTAATAAATGCCTGCTATATGTTAGGTACTAGATTAAAAGTAAAGCTTGGAGATAGCATGATCTGCTTTAGAGAGAGGAAGTACCTACTTGGATGAAATCACAATCTTTTTTTGAGGCAATCAGGGTTAAGTGACTTGCCCAGGGTCACACAGCTGGTGTCTGAGGCCTGATCTGAACTGTGTTCCTCTTAACTTCAGAGCCAGTGCTCTATCCACTCCCTGGCTGCCCCCGAATCACATAATCTTGAAGTGAGCAGGTCTTGTGCTGTGTATTCCCTGCTTCGTTTTCTCAGACATGACCCCCAAAACAGGCATGCATTTCAGAGTACTCAGTTTTTCAAAGCTAAGGGATTCATCAAATAAGATACAAGAGAAATTTAGGCCACTATTTTAGAGGGGGAAAAATGTGCCTTCTAATCCAGTAAATCCCACCTTAATTCCTTGTTGTGAAGAGAACTATAATCTCAACAGTTATGCCCACAGAGTGTGAGCTCTCCTAAGAAGGCCTTGAATATGGATGGATTTGGAGATGACTTGTGTCTGTCCAAGGGCCAGCCAAGAAGCAGATCTGTATGAACTCATAACGTGGACTAATAAAGTTTTCAACCACACTACCTTGAAAGCCACCACCCAAGTCAAAGAAAAGTGGTGTTTTTCACCAATGGAAGCAGCACTCATGCCAAAGGAATCCAAGTCTGTTTTTATTGGCTCATTAAGTGACCCAGACCCTGGTAGATGAGAGAGGAGAGTCTCTGCTCTTGAAGCATTTACAATCTTACTCTTGGCTTTTGCTGTTATGTCACCAGCTCTCCTCGGGTCCCCTCTTCATACCTGTTCCCTAAAACAGACCTTCAGTGAAGAAATGTCCAATGCCTCATATAGTGAAGAGACAGCGTGTAGCTAGCATGCCTACAAGAACTAACATTTACAGCACTTTAAAGTTTGGAAAATGCTTAACATGTTATCTGATTCTCACAACAACCCTGTGAAGTAGGTGTTATTACAATCCCCATTGTACGCATAAGGAAACTGAGGCACAGAGAAGTTAAATAATTTGCTAGGGTCACCCAGCTAGGTTCTGAGGCAGGATTCAAACTCCAAATCTTAGCAGCTGTCCATGCCAGGGCTCTTCGGCAGAGGTGCTGAAGGAGGGTGACAGTATAGATAGGAAGAGCACCTCTATCTGTGGACTACCTCTCTTACCCTCATCCCTAGAACCTGGTGCTGTGGATTTGGAGAAAGTGGCCAATGTGATTGTGGACCAATCCCTGAAAGACTGTATGTTCAGCAAGGAAGCCGGACGCATTTGCTACACCATCATTCAGGTCTTGGGGTGGGGGAGGGGACCGGGGACAGTTGGTGGCTGGGGGAGTGCCCCCCTGCCCCCAGAGGTGCTAGGAAACAGGCAACTGCCTCCACGCTAGCTGAGGGAAGAGAGGAAAGGAGCTTCAAAAAGTCCCCTGGGAGAACCTTTCTGTCCTGAAACCACATAGCTTCCAGCCCAAGTGTCAGGGTAAGGGCAGATGGATTCTTCTAAGAGCAGGCAGAGGGAAAACCAGGGAAGGGAGGCTTTCAGCTGCAGACATCCTAGAAGAAGCCTCTACGTACATCTGAGCTTATCCCCCTACCCCCCTTTCCCTGGGCCACAGGCAGAGAGCAAGCAAGCCAGCCAGAGCGTCTTCCGTCGGGGTCTCCTCAATCGGCTGCAGCAGGAGTACCAGGCCCGGGAACAGCTCCGAGCCCGATCCCTGCAGGGCTGGGTCTGCTATGTCACCTTCATCTGCAACATCTTTGACTACCTGAGGGTGAGGCCAGTGAGAACCACCCACTTGCGGTGTCCTTGTGGCACCCCACCACTGAGCTCAGTTTTCAGGGCAGGAGCCACTGCTACTGCCTCACCCCAGTAAAGGGTTGATGATGCTAACAAGGCTAGGGGCAGAGGCTTCATTCCTTACTGAGGTTATGCAACTGTGTTTGTGGCACCTAAGTCTCTCTTCCTAAAACTTCCCAGTGGTCTCGTGAGCCTCTGCCAAGTCTACCTCGTGTCAGTCTGTCTGTGTCCTTCTGGTTTAGGAGCTTTCCTAGTGGATGTGGGGAATGGGACCTTCTCTCCTCCCTATTAACTCCAGTGCTTTGGGTCCCTCCCCCGTCAGGTGAACAACATGCCTATGATGGCATTGGTCAACCCTGTCTACGACTGCCTTTTTCGACTGGCACAGCCTGACAGCCTGCACAAGGAGGAGGAGGTGAGGGGGAAAGGAAGCAGTCAATGCCAGAGCTGCTGAGAGAGAGCCAGAAGAACATTCGGCTCCTCTCAGGAAGCTAAGGCTTTGCTGCCAGGGGCTTTGCAATCTGTTCCCTGGGGCAGGAGTCTAAAAGCTCCGCTAAAAGGGTATTACCAGGGTCACAACCCATCAAAGGGCAGAAAGCCACCAAATGGCGTGGGGGGAGGAGGGTTGGGTAACCCAACTAAGGAGTTTTACAAGAAGGGGAAGAGCCCTGGCCAGGGAGCATGATGAGATGAGGGATCACAGGGTGCCAGAAAGGAAATTAGTACTAGGCAGAGAGGGAGGGAGAAGGGGGATTGGGACATGAAAGATCGGGAATCCCTCCCCAACTCCTTCAGGTGGACTGCCTGGTGTTACAACTGCATAGAATTGGAGAGCAGCTGGAGAAAATGAATGGGCAGAGGATGGACGAGCTGTTTGGTCTGCTGCGTGATGGCTTCCTGCTCCAAGATGGGCTCAGCTCCCTGTCCCAGCTCCTGCTGTTGGAGCTTATTGAGTTCCGGGCTGCTGGCTGGAGGACCACACCTGCTGCTCAGAAATATTATTACAGTGAGGTTTCTGACTAGGCTGGCCCAGCCTCAGGGCCCACTCACCAGCACCTTCCAGAAGGCTTGTATACACACACACACACACACACACACACACACACACACACACACACGCACACGCACACGCACACGCACACACGCGTCACTCTCACCAAGACAGCACCCCAGGCACAGGCTCACACATCTGAACTCAAGTCCTCAGGGCTTTCTCTCTTCTGACTTGTTTACTACTGGGGGTCTCCCCACCTCCAAGCTCTGGGCTTACAGCAGTCCTGCCCTCAGCAACTTTCTGCCTGTCAAGCACTTCTAACTCATGCAGAGGGGTAAGGGCAAGGCAGCACACCAGCCTACTGTACTTCAAATGCAGAGAAACATACACGGAAGAGTGAGAAGGAACCTCAGAACACAATGAGCTCACCCCCCTCATTTTACAGATGAGGAAACTGAGGCCCAGAGAAGACAAATGATCTACCAATAGGTCACACAGATAATTTAAGCATCTGAAACAGCATTCAAACCTAGGTCTTCCTGGTTCCAAGTCCAATACACTAATACCCTTTTGCCTCAACTAAGCGATAGGACATCCCCACCCTCCACCCCCAACTGCCTTTCAGCCCATTTCCCCACCCCTACTGGGGAATTGGGTAGTGAAGGATAACTCTACCATCCTTGCGCTGTGCAACCATCAGTGCATCTTCTCCCTTGAGGCCTCAGTTTTCTGATTTGTAAAATGGGAAATTGGTGGTTAGGATGCTTTGAGATCTTCAGAGGGCAAAGCATGGAAGGCAGCATTTAGGAGTCATGACAGAACTGGGGCCAAGTCTTTGAACTACCTGCGTGAAAAGGAGGCTTCCAAAGCCAGGTAAAGAGGCCAAGGCACCAGAGCACAAGTAGTGCTAGAAACTGGGTTTATTGTTTTTTTATAATTTTTGTACAAAAATGACTTGGGAAACAAGGGTATTTTATTTAGACAAATTTTAATGAGCTGCTGACCAAAACACTGGTTCAGTGTGGGATTTAAAAATTTATATATACACACATATATAAGTAATTTATTATGAACCAGTGTAGGACTTTTCTAGTAAACTTTTTCTGAAGTGAATGCTGCTTCTTTTTTCCAAAAGCTAAAGGTTCCGCTAGAATTGAGGCAAAGGAAACAGCTTTCCTGAGTTCATCTGTGCAGCCCAAGCCCATGTTCTTTTTTTGGGGGTGGGGTGGGGTGGGGAAGGGAGCTAACAGGATGGCACAGCTTAAGTAATTAACTACTCACATGGCTCCCGGTACTAAGTGGATGCTTTACTATAACTCTGGTTAAGAATAGCTGTGAGTGGCAAGCCTACAAGAGAGGAAGCTTGAAGATGTTGCATTCTAAGCTCTAACCATTCCTCAACTTGAAACCTGCACTATTGGTAGTCCCCCCTCCCCTATGGTAAAAACTAAATGACCTTCCTGTGCTCAGGCTGACCTTCCCAGTAGCAGAAGGGCAGGGAAGCTGAGCAATGGTACCAGATTCTCACCTTACAGCTCAAGCCTTCCCACCCTCTACCACCATCGGTAGTGGGCAAAGGCCCGGTTAGCCTCTGCCATCTTGTGTAGGTCATGCTTCTTCTTGATCACAGGGCCTTGGTTGTGAAAGGCCTCCAGTAACTCATGAGACAGTTTTTCTGGCATCAGCATTCGCCTAGGCTTCTTCTCCCGGCATTCTTGAATCATCCATTTCATAGCCAAGAAGCGCCGTCGCTTGTCAGTCAGAGGGGCTGGGACCTATTTTGAGGAGTTGGAAGGGAGTGGTGAGCGATGAGAGAAGCTAAGCAAGATGCTGCAGAGGGAACTGGGCCTGCCACAGGCAAAGCCCCTGTGGGATGCCTGATCCAAGAGAAGCCAAAGCAACAACAATGTTTATTATTCACGCAATAAGCAATTATTAAGTGCCTTTTATATACTGAGTGCAGTGCTAGGTGTTGGGGGAAAAAGAACAGTCTCTACCCTCAAGGAGCTAGCATGCCATGGGTGGCAACAATCTATACACCTGTCACATAAGGAAATACAAACCACATACAAAGTAAGTTGGGGGAGAGGGCTCCCTGGGAGATGGCTCTTGAGCTGAGCTCGGAGGGGGCTTTAGATCCTAAGGAGCAGAGCTGAAGGGGAAGAGCATCGCAGGTATGTAGACCACTTATGCAAAAACACAGAGAGGGAAGACAGTGCTGTATCCAAGAAACCCCCATAAACAGGCAAGCTTGAACAAGCCATGCAACGATGAGATACGGAGAAAAGCAGCAGCAGCATCAAAACTGTCCCCTCCAAACCATCTGGGGTAATGTAAACAATCAGTCTTATTTTAGACCATAAGCTTTTTGGGAAAAAAACCCCCCAAACGATCTATATTTGACATTTACCTCCCTCTCGGTACTCAGTATGTGGACCCACAAAATGGTACTAGCAATAATTGGAATTGCTAGGTACTTCCAATTACGGAAGCCCCCGAGGCCCCCACGAGGCCACCCAGCTCTCACCTGATAGAATCGGCCACCTTTAAGGATGCTGACCAGGCCGAGGATAGGCTGACAGTTCTGTAGGGCCTGGTGGAAGATGGTGTAGGGGTTACATTCAACGGCCTCCCGATCCTCGGGTTTGGCTTCGTGGTATTTTTTAAATTGCTTTCTCTTGAGGGTTTCCAGAGTCTGAAATGGAAATACAATGAGAGAAACCTTCGGAAATTCCCTGAAGGGTTCATTAGCCCAGCTGAGCTGGAAACTTCCCATCAATCTTCTTGGGCCTTCCCTACCTCACTGTAGCCTCCCTGTCTTCTCCTCTACCCTACAAAGATTCCTCTCCCCTCTTGGAGGAGTGCCAATTTAAAATCCTTTTCTAAAGATTGGGGGGGGGTGCAACTAGGTGTTGAAGTGGGATAGAGCACAGGCCCTGGGGTCAGAATGACCTGAGTCCAAATCCAGCATCAGACATGTTAACACTCACTACCTGTGAGACTCTGGGCAAGTCACTTAACCATAATTGCCTCATAAAACAAACAAACAAAAAAAGATCCTCTGGATTGGAACACTCAGTTCATTCTATTCTGGTAACAGCCCTGGTTGCTGTTGACGTGACCCCTGACTCCTCCCCACCCCCTCCCCCAGTGCCAAGTGCACTAATTAGTCTCCTCTGGCACCAAGCTAAGGGAGTTGGGGGAAAACAGGGGCAAAGGAGGAGATGGAGGGATAGGGAATATCACCCTTACCTCATTCATCAGGGATCTGGCCAGTGTTTTGTTTCCTCCTTTCATCATCATGTTGATGAATTTACTTCAAGAAGAAAAGCAACATGTTCAGGCCTCTAAGAATATACAGTGGACCCCTTATTTTAGACTTTCTCTAAGGTGGTCACTGCCCATGGACAGAAGAAAGTACCATGTGGATCTAACCTGATCACTGGGTCCTCAAACAAAGAGCTTGTATTCGATGCTGGGGGAGCTTTGAAGATCTGTGTGGTTCTGAGATCCCGCTCAAACTTCTCCTCTTCAGTTAGCTCCTCCAAGGGCTTATGGTAGTAGTCTTTATCAAGCTGGGGTTCTTTGTAATTAGCATCATAGCGGCTCCATCTCACCTGTGTCAGTCTGGAGGGGGAAGGTTGGGGATAAGAAGTCATAAGATCCGAAGGATTTAGAAATGACTAAATTTCATTGAGTCCAAATCCCTCGTTTTACAGTGAGGACCAGGGAAGGTCAGACACGTAGGAGGATGGGGCAGATTGAGCTGTAAGCCCAGGTTCCCTGACTCCAATTTAGCTTGGCTTTTTGATTTAACTTGCCTTCATGAGTGCTAGGAGACCAGAGGTGAGGCCAACTTGTCCACCTGAAATTAAGGAATTCTGGCTTTCTAGCCTCGGGGTGAGGCCACCTCACTAAAATAAACTAAATAATTCCCTAGTAATAATGAGAGACATCAATCCCTTCTAGGAACACAGGCTACTTTTCCTACCCCCAGAGCACAGACAAGATCAGGAACCAAATCTGGGTTCAAATCCTGCATCTGCTGCCCCTCCGTGTAGCCTTGAGCAGGTCATTTAACCTCCCAGGGCCTCAGTGAGGGCAGTGGATTATACTGGTTAACGAGTAAACAAGCATTTAAATGCTTTCTATGTACCAAGCACTGAGATGGCCTCTAAGGTCCCAGAAACTCTCAATTTATGATTCTTTGATATGCAAATCAAAGAATCCAAGAAATATGATTAGTGCCTTAGATCTGTGTGGTTCTGAGATCATATTCAAGTTTCTGTTCACTCAGCTCCGCTGAAGCCTCATAGTAGTACAATCTTTAATCAAGCTGGAGTTCTAGGTAGTAGAGGCCACGGTGTCAACGTCACAGTTTTGCAGATGAGAAAACTGAGGGGTGGGAGATGACCTGTATGCTTGAAAAGAAAGCTCTGGTCCTGGACTCGTGGAAACTCGAATTTAACTCCAGCCTCAGGCACTAACTTACTAGCGGTGACTCTAAGTAAGTCACTAAACTTGTTTGGCTTGGTTTCCTCCACTGCAAAATGAGAATAATAAAACATCTCCATCCCGGGGTTGTGAGGATCAAAAGAGACAATATATGTAAAGCTCTCTGCAAACCTTGAGGTACGATATAAAAACTAGTTGTCGCTGCTGTTACCAGGATGGAAACAAGCGTTTATGTAGCACCTATTTACTAAACACCTGTTATGTGCCTGGCACCATGCTGCGCCCAGTTTCCAGAAGTAAACCGAAAAGTTTTCACTTTCCTAATAATATTAGCTAGCATCATATATAGCGCCTACCATGTGACAGGCATTAGGCTAAGCTCAATGTACAGGAGTAAACAGAAAAGTGTCCACTTTCCTCCTCATAGCTAGCATTTATGCAGTGCCTACACTGTATGGGGCACTGTGCATGCTTCACAAAAATTACCTCTTGGGACCTGAGTTCAAATGTGGCCTCAGACAACACACTTGACACTTTCTAACTGTGTGATCCTAGGCAAGTCACTTAACCCCAATTGCCTTACCAGAAAAAGAAAAAGATGGGAGCAGCTAGGTGGCGCAGTGGATAGAACACCGGCCCTGGATTCAGAAGGACCTGAGTTCAAGTCCGACCTCACACACTTAACACTTACTAGCTGTGTGACCCTGGGCACGTCACTTAACCCCACTGCCTAGCAAAAAAAAAAAAAATTACCTCGTAGAACAGCTCCGAGCTCGAGCCCAAGCGGATGCAGACGCTACTAACAGCTAATGCTACGAGGCAGCTGTGTGACCTTGGACAAGTCACCTTCCCCTCAGTTTACTTACCTGTAAAGGGCCTGTGTGATCCCCAAACCCCCCCCCCGTGCGCTCTCGCCCCCAGGTGAAGCCGGGGCCCTACCTACTTACCTACCCCCGGGCCGGGCCACACCAAACCGGGTTGGGCTGGAGATGGGAAGATCTTCGCCTCCCTCCCCTCCCCCACCCCAGCCCAGGGCAGTTCCCCAAGGGACCGGATGCTCAGCGCCGCCGCCAGGCACAGACGGACGGTCCGCTCACCCCGGCAGAGCCCGGAGAGTCCTCCGTACGCCGGGCCCCAGGCTCCAGAAGCATCGCGCCGAGCTCACCACGGGAGCCACCATCTTGGCTCGCTCCAGGACCCCTCCAGGCCGGGCAGGGCTGCCCGTGGGCTTGCCTGAGCGGATCAGCAAACTCTCGCGATCTTTCACGCTACCTGCCCCTCCCCCCACCCCTGCAGCCTATCGGAAAATCCAATTAACCAATTCAGTCCAGTTCAAGCTCATCCAACCCGACGAGGGTTTATTAGGAGCCAGACCTTCTCCAAGCTCGGGAGAGCTGACTTCAAGTGTCATACATGGCCCCCTCCCTCCCGCCTTGCTCTAGTGCGTTTGGTCTCTGCTGTTGCTAGGACAACACTGTCTACTCCAAGCGTTCTCCCTGGCTGTCTTCTATGCCTGGAGTGCCCTCCCTTCTCATCTCTGCTTCCTAGCTTCCTTCACGTCCCAGCTAAAATCTCACCTCTATCTTCTGCTGGATACTAGAAGCTTTCTTCCACCCGTCTAATTCCAGTGCCTTCCGTCTGTTAACTATTTCCTATTTATCCTGTACCAAGCCTGTGGGTACACACATTCAATTACTGTGAATGTTGAATTGTACTAATTCTCACTGCTGATTTCCATTGGGCTGGAACGTTTTCTCTCTCCTCACTTTCTAACTCCTTAAAACCCCACTTCTGCCATTATCATTCCACAGAAACTGTTACTAATGCTCTCTCTTAGTTGTGTAATGCAATGGCCTTTTTTCTATCCTGATTCTCCTGGACCTTTGACATTGTCGATTTCTCTCTCCTGGATACTCTCTTATTGTTTTAGGTTTTCCTGACACCACTTTCTCCTGGTTCTCTTCCTACCTATCCGACTGCTTCTTCTCCGTCTCCTTTGCTGAATCGCCCTCCAGATCATGCCCTCTAATCAATTATAGGTCTCCCTCAGAGTTCCATCCAGGTCCCTTTTCTCCCTCTCTACTACTTCACTTGGTGATCTCACTGGCTCCCATGGATTTAATTGCCATCTCTATGCTGATGGTTCTCAAATCATCTTAAACTCAAATATGTACCAAAACAGAACCCTCTTCCCCTCTTTATTCCCGCATTTCGGTGGAGAGTAACAGCATCCTCCCAGTCCCTCAGTCTCAAAACCCAGGAGTCATCCTGGATTCCTCATTCTCTCACTCCCCCCCATATCCAATCCAATGTTGCCAAGGCCTGTCAGTTTCATCTTTGTAACACCTCTCAAATATGCTTCCTTCTGTCCTCTGACTGCTGCCACTCTAGTATAGACCCTCATCACCTCAAGCCTGGATTATATTATATAGCCTGCTGGTGGGTCTGCCTGCCTTTAGTCTCTCCTTACTCCAGTCCATTCTCCAGTCAGCCTTTAAAGTGATTTTCCTAAAACATAGGTCTGATCCTACTCAATAAACTCCAGTGGCTTCCTCTTGTCTCCAGGAGCAAATATCAAATGCTCTGTCTGGTATTCAAAGTTCTTTATAATCTAGCCCTTACCATCTTTCCATTCTTCTTATACCTTACTCTTCAACATGTATCTGTACCCTTCTATCCAGTGACCTTGGCCAACTTGATGAACAAGATATTTCATATTTGGACTCTAGACATTTCCGATGACTGTCTCCCATGCTTGGATACTCTCCCTCTTTATTTTCTGCTTCCTGGCTTCCCTGGCTTCCTTCTAGTCCCAACTAAAATCCTATCTTCTACAGAAAGCCTTCCCCAATCCCTCTTAATTCTAGTGCCTTCCCTTTGTTAATTATTTCCTATTTATTTTATATATAGCTTGCTGTATATATGTATATATACATATATACACATATATATGTATGCATGTATACTGTCTCCCCCATTAGAATGAGAGCTCCTTGAAGGCAGTCACTTTTTTGCCTCTTTTTGTATCCCCAGCACTTAGGACAGTGCCTGGTACATAGTAGGTGTTTAATAAATGCTTGTAATACCCTGAGCGTTGCTGCTTTTTAGAGAGCAACTTTCTAAAACTATAAATTTCAGAAAAGGTGTAGACTTGAACTGGTCAAAGGAGCTAAGTTTGCTCACTTGGGAGTCCCCTATACCAATGAAATCAGAGGTCCTAGCCCTTGTCCCTGTCTTTATCCAGCTATGTGCTAAGCAAGCTCTGGGGGTCCAAAGACACATAGCCCTTGCCCATCCTGACCTACCCTCCATTGGAAGTAGGGGTGGGAGCAAGAGAGTATGCAAGGTAATTTGAGCAGGGAGAGAGCATTAATAACTAGTAGGATTAGTAAGGGCTTCCCATCACACCTATCAGATTGACTAACATGACAAAACAGGAAAATGATAAATGTTAGAGATGTGGGAAAATTGGAACACTAATACATTGTTGGTGGAGTTGTGAACTGATCTAAACATTTTGGAGAGCAATTTGGAACAATGCCCAAAGTGCAATACCCTTTAAAATAAAAATATGCATACCCATTGATCCTGCAATAACACTACTAGGTCTGTATCCCAAAGAGATAATTAAAAAGGGAAAATGACCCACATGTACAAAAATCTTTATAGCAGCTCTTTTTGGCCAAGAATTGGAAATTAAGGGAATGTCCATCAACTGGGAAATGGCTGAACGAGTTGTGGCATGTGAATGTGATGAAATACTATTGTTCTATAAGAAATGATGAGCAGGGGGGCAGCTAGGTGGCACAGTTGATAGTGCACCTGCCCTAAATTCAGGAGTACCTGAGTTCAAATACGGCCTCAGACCAAACACTTGACGCTTAACTAGCTGTGTGACCCTGGGCAAGTCACTTAACCCAAATTGCCTGAAAAAAAAATAAACCAAAAACAAAGAAATGATGAGCAGGCAGATTTCAAAAAAACCTGGAAAGACTTATATGAACTGATGCTGAGTGAAGTGAACAGAACCAGGAGAATATTGTACACAGTTACAGCAATACTGTGCAACTTTAGCTCTTAAGACTTGGCTCTTCTCAGCAATGTAATGATCTAAGAAAATTCCAAAAGATTGGTGATAAAAATGCTATCCACATCCAGAGAAAGAACTATGGATTCTGAATGCATATCCAAGCATACTATTTTCTCTTTTTGTTGTTGTTTCTTTCTCATAGCTTTCCCCTTTTGTTCTGATTCTTCTTTCACAACATGGCTTAATGTGGAAATATATTTAATATGATTATACAACTATAGCCTACATCAGATTGCATGCTATCTTGGGGAGGGGGCAGGGGAGCAAGGGGGAAAAATTTAGAACTCAAAATCTTATAAAAGTGAATGTTGAAAATAAAAAATAAAAAATTTTTTAAAAAGAAAGGGCTTCCCATAAAAGGCAGAGATAAAGAGGGAGTGTGCTCCAGGCATGGGGCATAACACATCCTGTGCAAAAAGCTCATAGATGCAGTTCAGAAAATAATTAATAGGACTTTACTTCTTCCTTTCTTTTTCTTTCATTTCTCTTTTCTTTCTTTTCTCTACACATAGGGTATCACACCCTTACCTGTGGGTGCTCTGCCCAAAGGGAATGTACACTATAATCTCTGAAACTGTTTTTGTTTTTTTCTTTTAAATTCCACCTTAATTCCAAGTCACTCTGGATCTCATTGATTGGCCAACAATAGATCGATCCCTAACCAAGCTCAATCCGGTCACTGTTTGAGCTCTGATTGGCTCACAATGAATGTAAACAGTAATTGTTTCTGTTTTGCCAGAAACCCTGAGGGTCTTCCCCTCCCATATCTATTTTTTTTAAGAGGCCAAGTTTAGCCTCATTTGTTAAGCCTTGATCACCGAATGGGTGCTGCCTCAGTCAAACTGAAACCTGTTAAAGACCTAGCTTGAAAAGGCCAAGGTCTACCCCCTCTCCAGCCACCTTGCATCCCGAGCCATCTCTAGTTGTCCTGATCCATATCTGGCCACTGGACCCAGATGGCTCTGGAGGAGAAAGTGAGACTGATGATTTTGCATAGCTCTCCCTCTCTTAAATCTAATTCACTTGCACTTCATGGCACCAGCTCCCTGATGTTCATTCTTCCAGAAGGAAGGACATACAGTAAGTAGAACTTGAAAGTAGCTATAATTCACAGTGCAGTGCGAGAGGAAATAAACCCGGAAATGGAGCCACCCTGCAACCTGCTTTTTAAAATGCCAAACTAAGGAGTTTGCATTTTATCTCAGAAACCATGGGGAGCCCCCGAACATTTTTTTTTTTAGGCAGTGGGGTTAAGTGACTTGTCCAGGGTCACACAGCTAGTGTCAAGTGTTTGGTCTCAGGCTGCGTTTGAACTCAGGTTCTCCTGACTTCAGGGCCGAGGCTCTATCCACTGTGCCACCTAGCTCCCCTCCCCCCCAACATTCTTAGGCTCTGGAGTAACTGGATGGGACTTGTGCTTTAGGAAAACGATTTTGGGCGTGAACGGTTTGGAGAAAGGTGAGACTACAGAGAGGAAGGAGAGACACTTGGGACGTTACTGCGACGGTCTAGACAAGAGGAGGACTGCATGAGCACATGTTGGGAGCACCCAGAATCAAGACCTGCAGGCACCGAAAGACGCTTCTGCCATCCCGCCCCCGCCCCCGCCAAGCTCATCCCTTTTCCAGATTTCGCAGTCGCAGGTTTCCCTGGCCCCGCCCATCTTCCGAGGAAAGAGGGAAGCCACTTTTTGGCCCGACCCAACTCCCTGAAGGACGAGGTAACCACTAGGAACCCTGGCCCCGCCCAGCTCCCGGAAGGACGGGAGACCACTGGGAGCCATGGCTCCGCCTATCTTCGGAGGGGAGGGGGGGAACCATTCCAGGCCCTGGCCCCGCCCAGCTCCCGGAGGGACTGGGGGGACCCCTCGGAGCCTTGGCCCCGCCGAGCTCCCGGAAGGACGCGGGACCACTCGGAACCATGGCCCCGCCTATCTTCGGAGGGGAGGGGGAACCACTCAGGGCCCTGGCCCCGCCCAGCTCCCGGAAGGGCGGGGGATCCGATCAGTCAGATCCCGCGCTCTTCTCTTGTCCTTTCACCTCCCCTGTCCCTGCTGTTTTTCCGGTGACTCTCGCGAGTTTTGGGGCTCCCAGGCTGGGAGGCTGCAATATGGCGGAAGCCGAAGGGGAGAGCTTGGAGTCCTGGCTGAGTGAGTAACTGCGGCCCCACCCTGGCCCCCCGGGGCTCCCTGGCGGCCTGTCCCTGTCAAGTTCGGGCGTCCGCCAGCCCTCCTCTCACCCTTCCGCCGTTCGTGGCCCCCCACCCCCCCCTCCGGGCCTGGCTGCCTTGGCACCGCTCCGGGCTCTTCGTCCGCCCCCAGCCCCGATGCCCCGGGGACCTGCCGCCCCCTCGGCTTGTCCGGCGGCCTCTAAGACCCGCCCCGTTCCGGCCGGTGCCCCCCGGGGAGCGAGGGGAACTAGGGCCACACACGCACATCCACACTTCTGCGTCCCCAGGGACACACGCCCCTGTCCCAGGGACACACACACACACACCTGTCTTCATCCTGGGCACACACATACATCCCCATCCCGCGGAGAAACACACGGCCCGTTATCCCAGGGACACCCACCGGCACGTACACATACATATAGCATTCCCTGGACACAAAAGAAAATTTAGACAAGAAGATTTGGAAAAGAATTTTGAAAGGGATTGACTCAAAGCAATTGCCCAAAGGGAGAAGAGCAGGGTTTCTTCTTTCTGGAAGGAAGATTAGAGCCCGGCCTATTATGCTTCTTGGGCCTGGATACTTATTCACCTGGATAGCGATAACATCTTCCTTGGAGGCTCCTAGTCACAGTCATTTCTGTGTAGGGAACTACGCTTGCTAGCCCTGGAGTATAACTACAGAAAGTGTCAGTTTTACTTTCCAAATGCAGTACCTTCTACACACCCTTACTAGATCGTAGGATTGTAGATTTACAGCTGGAAGGGACTTCAGAGGTCATCTATCAAAATTCTCTCATTCATAGATGAGGAAACTGAGGCCCAGGGCCACGAATTGACTTGCCCAAGGTCAGACAGGTAGTGTCAGGAATAGGATTTGACAGTTGTATTCTGCCTGTGTTTTTGCAAGGAATGAAATTCTGGAACTTTTTTTTTCAGCAGGTAGGATATGAGGGTTCATTTCAGTAGATATAATGCAGGCAAGGCACCAGGGATACAAAGATAACTATGACACAGTTTCCTTTTGTTAAGCAAGGGAGAGATGCGCTGAGAAATTTGAGGCAGTAGATGTCACTTTCGCCTAGGGGAATCAAAGAAGAATTTATGGAGGAGATAGCATCTTAGTTGAGCCTTAAAGGAAGAGAAAAGAGCTTGAGGCATAAATTTTGTTTTATATGTTTTTTGGGGAGGGGGAGGAAGCATGGTTCCATTCTAGTCTTAGGACATGGTATGTAAGCTATGGGATAGGGCAGAATTAGAAGTGGGGGGGAGGGGCAGGGAACAGAATAGTGCATTTTAACTGTATTGTAAAATATGTGAAAGAGATGTACTATGAGGTAAGGCGGGACAGATAGCTTGAAGTTAGATTATGCAGTTTACTAAAGGGAGTGCAGTCAGGATTTTATTTCATTTAGTGGGGATTAGGAAACTTCTGAAGGTGAGTCTGGTGAATAGTAAGTATAGACTTTGCCATTGGCGCAATCCACTAATGCTTCTGGTTCTGTCTTTAGGAGTGTTAAGTTCAGGTAGAGGCTGGGCAGGTTGGTCATGAGGACAAACTCTGCCACAGAAAAATGATACCTAGACATAGCCCTGCTGTGTCTAAAAAAGATCTCTTTTTTGGAGAGGATTCAGCTGCTGTGCTTCAAGTTGTCATTGGTAATTAAAACATTTTTAAAAGAAAATTATTTATTCCCAGGAAAGTAGCTACCGAATTAGAAACAAGTAGACAAATATTCATTAAGTAAATAGTGGAGTGGATAGAGAATCCAGGTATTGAGTTTCTAGTGTCTTATCATTATTTCATTCTCCACTAGTAAGTGTAACTATTTAAAGAAATGATAATAACATCTTGGCATTTCTTAATATATCCTTTATCTCAAGAGCAATCAGCTGAAAAACATTTGCTAAAGTCTAGTGACCACTTAGAGGATTCGTTTAAATATAATGGAATTACATATTGTGGATATCTTGATGTCTTAGATTTGTTAAAATGGCATTGATTTTACAAAAGTAATGTTTTGCTATAGAAAGCAACCAGTTACTGTTTTCAAGGCACACCAGGGCTGGTGTATAAATCCACAAGTTGAAGTGGAAAGTTTAGGCAGTTATTCAGATAAGTCAAGGGAAAAAGCACATTTGTCTACATTATTTGGACAATATAGTACAGTGGAAAGACCATGGTTCTGTAGTCAGGGGAGTTGGGTTTAAATCCCACCTTCTGATGGAAATGCATGACTCATGTAAGCTAGTGGCTTCTTTCATTTTGAATGGAAAGAAAGCAGTACAAAGTACATTTGCAAACCTGCTGCTGGCTGCAGGCTGATAGTTGTTATGCCTTCTTGATAGATGGGACTGTTCTCTAAGAAGCTTGGTTTTCTCTGCGCACATTTTATTGGGTCTGATGTTCCCAGAATGCTGAAGAGGCATTTTTAAAGCCCTCTGCTGCCTTCAAAGCTTAGCAGGAGGATACATGTTTGATGTACCAGGAAGAAGGGAGCTACCATAGGTATTCAAATGAAATATAGAGGACTGATTAAAGAACTGGAAAACTGAAATCCAAACAAGAAACTTGAGCCTTGAGAGAAGAACATTCCGGTAAAATGTAAACTTTGAAAGCAAGGACTCCTTTCTCCCTCCCTTCTTTCCTTCTTTCTCTCCCTCCTTCTCTCCTAGCTGAAAAAGATCTACCAAGATTTTTATAACAAACTTGCACCATCAAGGACACAATAACAGCATAGATTCAGACATGCTTATAAGGGAGATAGATCTGGCCCTAAAGAGACAAAGTTGGAAAAACAAGCAGAGGTGGACCAAATAGAGGAGACTTCCATTTTGGAGGCAGTCCAATTGTGAAGTCATTGAGGGATTGATTCACCAGGTATTTAATGGAGAGGATGATACCAAATCTAAACAAAAATCTCTGATCTTACTATGAAAAAAAGTGACCTAGAGAACATCAGCAACTTCTGACACGTATGCTTACACTGTGCACAAATCAAAGGCATCCTTTGGTGGGGACCAATCAGACTTTTGCTAGCAATATTCTATAGTGGACCACACATCTTTATCATTTCTTAGTTCACTGAAAAAATGTAGATCCTGCTATGTTTAGTGTTTGTTAATTATGAAAAGCAGTTGATTCAGTAAAGCTAAATGTATCTTTAAAGGTTGTCTTCTATCCATACTTCCAAAATCATTCAAATAGTCTTGAATGATATGACAACAGAAATAACTGTTCAGGGATACATTGATCTTAAACACAAGGTGAGGCGTAAAATGGAGAGGTGCATGGTCAGTAAAAACCGTGGAGAGTAGATATGCAGCAGTTGGAGAGAGATTCCCTTAAGTGGTGAGATTCTTCAGATGCTCTTGTGAACACACACTGATTGTATCAAGTCCTGGGATATTGCAGAGCCTCCTAGGAAAACTCTGTCACCATTCAGAAGAGTTTCCCCTGACCATCCACAAAGGAAAGATCAATGAATAAAGGATCTCTTGTTCATCTTAGTTATCCATTTGTATCTGTTTGTGGGACAGGTAGTACAAATGTTCACTGAGCTAAACGCTAGGAAAGGAATGGGCTGGGTTGCCTTTATGAAATGACAGAGCTCCTTTTGTGACCCCTAACTACTTCTGTAAATAAAGGCTCGTCTTTTTAATATCAGTCTTCTTTCAAGGTTATAAACTGAAAGACAACACAGCAGTCTCCAAATAATTAAAAATTACTTATCACACAGAACCGTGGAGAAGAATATATGGGTGTGAACAGGCTGCAACATACGAACAATGAGAAGCTTCAAAGAATAGGAATAAAGGGCGTTATAGGGGAATGTGTGATGAGAGATGATAGGGTGGTCACATGTCAAGAGGGAGGGGCGACAGAAGGGCAGGCTGAATATTCTGCTGATATCTTTGAGTTGTCTGGAGAAAGCCGGGACGGTTTCCAGCCTGTTGGGTGGACCTCCTGTGGCAAGCTCAAGGGAGAACATAATTAAGGCAGATAGGTGTGGATGGCTTGTGCACTGAACTACAACATTAGAAGAAATATACAAACCAGTGTGATCACAGGGCCATTTGAGTCTGCCTAGCTTCTTGGAATCGCCTTGCAATTTAACCAGTATGTATCAAGCCATATATGCCAGGCATAGTGCTAGATGACCATAGGCACTTGTGTGATGGACAAGTAAAATAATTCACTTATAGTGACACTACGGATTAGATGATTATGATGATGAGGCCTCTGAGCCTCATACCAGGATCTGCTGTGCTTTCCTGGCGAGGGAGAGCTGTATTGATATAAATACATTATCTTCACAGTAACCAGGTAAATGTCACTACACTTTCTGCCTGCTTAAAAATCTTTACTTGCCCATATTTCCTCTCCCATAAAATGAAATTATGTAGCTTGAGGTTGAAAGTCCTCTCCAGTCTGGTTCTCATCAGACTTTCCAAGCTTATTTCTTACTGCTACTCTTCCCTCCTCCACCTTTACGTGCTTTACATTTCAGCCAAACTAGCCATTCCCCATCTCAACCTCTACACTGATTTTTTAATCATGTTACTCCTCTTCTCAGAAACTTATATTTGTTCAATTTTTTTAAAGTCTTAAATTTCCATTCGCCTTTATGGCTATCAAGGCTCTTTATAATGTGACTCTACCCTACCGAACATTTCTCACTATTTCCCTATTCTGCTGTAGTGAGGCTGGTCTTCTCCCCTTCCCATTAGCATGCCTTGTTCAGGCCTACCCCTGTGTTTGGAATGGATGTAAGTAAAGAGCAATAGAGAGGACCCAGGACCCAGGTTTCAGTCTGGGGTGACTGGAACTGTGGTGGTACTACTAACAGAAATTAGAAATCAGGAAGGATTTTTATTTTGTGAGAGGACAATATGTTGAATTTTCTTACCATATAATTTAATTTTTTATTGTATGCTAATGATTTCATGTGTTTAAGTTCATTGCTCTCAAGGAATTTA